TAGAGACCCAATCAGGAACATTATCCTCATTTTCGTATAGAGGATGCAATTAAATTTGTTCCTAAATTTAATGAAACCGAACCAGAGTAATTCTTCATTCATTTTGAGTGTGTAGCTGCCTTGCATGGTTGGCCCAAAGATAAGTAGGTATTACTTGTAAACAGCGCATTTGTTGGCAGGGCACAAGAGGTTTTCTCAGCTCTGGATTGGTACAGTCACAGAATTATCATGTTGTAAAAGAAGCTGTGTTAAATGTTTATAAAAAGGTAATAGAAGCTTATAGACAGGATTTCCGCAATTGCCGTAAAGATGGCAAACAAACCTTTGTTGAATTTATCCGCCAAAAGCAACTTTTGTGTAAAAAAATGGGTTGAGAGTGAACTTGATGCACTCGAATACGATAAATTATTACAATTGTTTATAATCGAGGATATAAAGAAGTGTATGCCTGTAAAAGTTCGCTCTCACATTGACGAGCGTGGTCTGCGCACATTAGCCGAGGTCGGTAGTGCCGCTGATCATTTCGCTCTAAGTAATCCGAACTACTCTTGCATATCTAATGAGCCTTCATTCCAGTCTAGCCAACATAGTCGTAAGAGGATGGAGTATAGTGCCAGAAGGACTGAACTGCCAGATACCGACAGGACTGTAAATGTAAAGAGGAAAACATCTAAGCAAGAGAGCAAGCAATCATTGAAACAACTATACAATAAAGTAAGCAGTTAAGAAAACAACGAAAAAAGCAAGCAATCATTAAAATAACTAAACAAGAAAGAATGCAAGCAGGGAAAACAACCAAACGAGCTATTTTGCTTGCTTGAGCTTGCTCCCAAGATCAAATTCCTTCTAGTGCTTTTGTCTCCTTCTGTTTCACCAAATTGTTATTGTTTTCACGTTATCTTGTTCAAGTATACATCATTTACACATCAGCTGCTTCTCATATGCCCAATAGAAGTTAAGAGCTGTCCTCTAATACACACACATATATATATATATATATATATATATATATATATATATATATATATATATATACATATATATATATATATATATATATATATATATATATATATATATATATATATATATGTATATGTATATATATATGCATATATATATATGCATATATATATGTATATATATATATATATATATATATATATATATATATATATATATATATGTATATATATGCATATATATATGCATATATATATGTATATATATATATATACATGTATATATTTATATATGTATATGTATATATGTATATATGTATATGTATATATGTATATATGTATATGTATATATATATATAAATATATGTATTAGTATATGTATGTATATATATATATATATATATATATATATATATATATATATATATACATACATTATATATATATATATATATACATTAAATATATATGGTAGAAAAACCTACAATGTAAAAACTAGATTTATTGAAAATGAAAATGAGACGACAGTTTCGGAATCCACCTGGATTCCATCCTCAGATTCCATCCTGAGGATGGAATCCAGGTGGATTCCGAAACTGTCGTCTCATTTTCATTTTCAATAAATCTAGTTTTTACATTATGGGTTTTTCTACCATAGTATCAACACGGTAGAGTGTTTTCCTCATTCATTATATATATATATACATTATATATATATATATATATATATATATATATATATATATATATTATATATATATATATATTATATATATATACATTATATATATACATATACATTAGATATATATATAAAATGTAGTTTATTATATATGATTATATTAACTAAATTAAAACTATGTAGAAGATATCCATTACCTATCAAATTATATATACATACAAATCTATTATATATATATGTTTATATATATGTATATATATATATATATATATATATATATATATATATATGTATATATATATATGTTTATATATATGTATATATATATATATTTAAATATGCATATATAATGCGTGCGTGCACACACACACACACACATTTATATATATATATATATATATATATATATATATATATATATATATATCATATTTATCTACTCTGTAACAAAGCTTCAAGCGAATGATCTTATTGCTTTGATTATCAGCAATTTATGTATTTTTTATCCATTAGTCAAACACTACTTTCACTTATTACAATCTAGTATACCTGCTGCTCCTAGATCGTTGCTAATTCACATACCATACAATAACTTAAAGCCAGCCTCCAGGCAAGTACAGTGGTAACGTGTCGGCCACTCATCCGAGGGGTCGGCGGTAAGCGCTCCGCCCAGACGCGAGAAGTTGCAGTTGTTGCCTGGAGGTTACTGCTGTAACGGCGGGTAAGGACACACTAATCCAGTCAGTACAGGCCGAGCTCCTTTCATCGGCACAGACCGGCCGAGGCTCAGCTTACCCTTATCCTTTACCGATAGACCTTTTGTAGCGACGTGTTTTATAAACGGAACAAAATGTGAAACTGTATACTTTAGTAAAACCAACTTTAATAAAACCAGCTTTAAGAATACCAGATGCCTGATTATTTATGTATACCGTGTTAATAACTTCAACCAAAGCAAATATTGTTCAACGGATACGCAAGCAGTGATTTTTTTACAGGGTCTGTATATCTGGTTTAGGTTGTCTATCCACATCGGTTGCACTTGCAATGGTTCTGACCACTCATGCAGATGGCTAGGAATCTTAATATCATTATTATATTGTGATTTAAACAGGTGGGACGTAATTCTAATCTTACTTATAACGTTAACTTGTACAGACGACATACCGTTATTCACAAAGGAAGGCTCGAGATTCTATCAGAAAAAAAACTTATGATGTAATTCAGAGATTTCTGCCAAAAACCCCGTCTTTATTTTTGTATTTTTAGCAATACACGAATCAAATTACCCGTAGAGTAAAGGCCAGGTCTTCCCAATTCTCCGTGACTACGCTAGCTATTTTGATATTAGTGATAAGCTATCATCGACATGTTCTTTGGCTGTAGTATTTGGCTGTTATTCATTTCCCAGGGTAGTGTTTCGTTAATATTTTCTTTTATGACATTTCATTTTCTTCGCAAATTAATAATAAGGGTAGAAGAGAATGTAAAAAAAAAAAAAAAACATTTCCAGGCCCTGCATGATGCGTACTCTTTAACGGCGACCGAAAACAACGTAGGGTAGGGCATGGGGGGAGGTGCCCTCATTTTCAGGGATGTGCATCGCAAAAGCTAAATTACTGGAAGTTTTACCTCGATCATAAGCCTTTAGTAACCCCGCATTTTTTTCTGATACTTATCATGCCCTCCCCAGCTATCGGTCCGATATCGTAGTTGTATTTTGTTAGCGATGGTGTGTGTGAGCTTACAGATATCCACGATTATAAAAAAAAAAAAAAAATAGTATGGTTAAATTTACTTTAGCTGTCACAAGGAAGACACAAATAAGCAGCCCCTATTGTTTCCATACATTGCAGTAACACGAATAAGAAACCCATATGCCATTCACTGGTATCCGAAGGTGAAGTCCAAGTCTTCGGAGTTCTCTCGAATCAAGCGGTCCATCTTGGCGTCTGCTTCCGGCGTCGCGATGCTGGCCCAGTCCCCGACCCGCCCGCGCCGGCAGTGGAGGCTGAGGGTTTATTTTCAGCTCCGGAGTGCTCTTCATGCGGTCAAAGTGGGCGTAGTTGGATATTCTGGAAATCGAGATGGAGTTTTGTCACTAAGACCTGGAAGTTTGTTTGTTTTTGGTTACTTTATGGTAAAAAAAATAAGTTCCTTCTTTCAAAAGATGACGAAGGATGGGTGTAAAGAATGCTCAAGTAAATACATGGATTAGTTTATAAGCCACAGTAGAGAGAGTGCAGTGAAAACCACGACCTACTTCAGGAATACGTCGTCGCCAAGTTGCAGACCCAAGAACGTGCTAAGTTTCCTCAATTCCTCCAGGATGTCGGTCTTCATGTCCTCATAAAACATCGCGGGGAAATTTGGGTGGTGCTTCTGCTGCCTGCCGGATATGGTCCCAGTAAGGGCCGTAGAAGAGATTGCCAGCCATGAAGCCATCCAACAGGTTTTCAAAAGTACCAGAGAAAAAACAGCTTTCCAAATTTTTGACAAAGTGATAATAGGAAGCACAAACATCCTTTGGGTTTCGAGCTACATACACAACCTGAGGAAGAAAAAAAAAACACTTGTGATATAAATAAAAGTTTTAACACTGTTATGTGATGTAGTGTTACAGAATGGTAACTCCCTTCTCAGATATACGTGGTGAAGAATTGTCATGTGGCTTATATTTAACTAGAACTTTACCAAACGAACTTACTTTGCAGGTGTTAAGGAGATCCGGGTGGAGCAGCTTGAGAGGCAGGTGCGTCCAGATGATCCTGGGCGTCGTAGCAGCCTCTGCCAGCTGGAGAGTGAGGCCCTCGTCGGGTATGGTACCTGGGCACACCTCAGCCAACTTCTGCTTGGCTTTCTCGACATTCAGCATATTTAAAAAGTCCTGAAAAACGACATACAAAGGGTTATCAGCATGTCCCTTCTAAATTCTAAAAAAGGAAGCTACCCTACCAGGGCATTTTCTCTCAGGAGTTGTATCTGTAAAGTGAAGTCCAGTAATGACATGAGCGTTCAGGAGTCGGAGGAAAGAAGTAATGTTAACTATGCAGGTATTTCTCATAATCAAAAAGTTAAGAAGGCTACTGTGTTCAAGACTGGTGAAGTCTATATGAGTAATTATTAATAATTATTGATAATAGTACTTTAGATTTATTCCATTTGTTGTAATGGATATTCTTGGTGTGGCATGATGTCATTTTTACCTTGCTTCTAAATTACTCCATGTGTGCAAAGAATGGCCGGGGTTCCCATCCACTGGTGGCGAGGGATTTGAACGCGAGTCAGCAAGATTACTAGACGAGATCAGAACCGCTGCACCACACAGCACAGTAGTGGAAGACCTGCTGATGCTG